GTCTCCACAGGCCTCTGTGCAGTTTGTGTCATTATTCCAGCCTTTACAACCACCTGCGTAGAGGTTGAGAATAGAGGGGTATGGCAAGATTCCAGAATCAAAATAATCGTTGGAGCTTATCGTCGTGCTGAGGATGATTCGGTTGGTAGTTGGTAGTTTGTATAGTCCACTTTGCACGGTCATGAATTCATTGTTTTGGTCGTACCAATTATAGTCGTTCATGATTCGAAAAGATTGATTAAGAAGGAATTTAGAATCCGGGAAGAATGTAACGAGTCCATCATATTTCTCCATTGTACAGAGTTACCAAAAGGCCGCTTTCTGGAAACGCATTTGTTGAAATTCGAGCGTAGAAGAAGAGTTCATCAGCATGAGGTAGAAGAGGAACTAGAAAAGTGGTGTGTTGGAAAAGCAAATGGAGCTGCCAGGCGCCATATGTACAATGCATACAGAGGGGTCAATGCGCGCTGAGATTGAGGAAATCAGCCTCCCAGTCTTAATTATTGGTGTAACGCAGATTCATGCATGTCTCAGTGCTGACCCAAATGAGGCCAACGATGCCTGTTTTGAAGCGCCTACGGGGTGCAATGCCACTATCTGGATCCATGGGGTGCGACACAATTCCTAACAGCATTATACACATAAGTACCAGTAAGATAAGAATAGCCTCAGTGCCAAACATTATAGAGTGACACAGGCTAGGTAGGGAGACTCAGGATTCTCAGTTTTGAGGGGGCTCAGCCATCCATGTTGGGCTAATAAGAGCACATTGGGCAAAGTTGTGGTAGGCAGGCCTCTTTGTTTGTCTCGCCTCACTTGGGCGGTCTGACAAGGATCCGGGCAAGAGGCATTACATCCCTTGGAATAAATTATCACGAGTGAGGCTAGGACAAGCTGAAGACCTCAGCGATTGTTGGTGTCGTGGTGACTTACCTGATATAATTTGCCTGGTAGTGCTGTAGCTGTAGCTGATGGTACCTCCACCCAAGCTCTCCAGACTCCGCACTGCAAAGTCACTGACGGAGCTGTGGCTGTGCCGAGAGTTTTGCGGATAAAGTATCCGTTAGGTACGAGTATCGTATTGAGGATACACCGCAAAGTTGCATGGGATTTCAAGCTTTTGCACATGTGGCGCCCACTTGATTGATCAAATACTACTCGTCGTTTTATCCATAATTTACAATCTATCCAATTCAGCCTCGTATTCCCTTCCCTGGAGAGGTACTCAAGCACACAAGCACACAAGTACACAAGCTCAAGTACACACGGGGAATCGCCACTTCAGCCCCTCCGTCCGATGCCGTGCATTGCGTGGCTGATGATTCCTGGTGCGTCACTCCCAGCGCCCGCTATACCGCAATCAGCAGGCATACGTACTTCGCCTACGGTACCACGGCAGCCCATCCACGCATGCACCGCCACAGCTGGTCCCCAAAGTTCCCCAAGTTGCCAAGATACCCGCATCATGTCACTGTGCCTGTCGACGCCTCTTTGCTCTTGACTTTCCACTCGACACCCAAACAAACAAGAATTCTCTCTCTTCTCCGGCTTGATTCCAAATACCTGCAATTAATTGCATCTCCCATCATCATCTTCCAGCGGTGTTTGTTTGTTTTTGCTCCTCCGCCATCATGCGCTGATGTTCTTGATCGCCGATTCAGTGACGACATCTCAAATCTCCCCACCCGATTCCATCTTCATCTTGATTCTACAATCGGCGGCTCGGCCTCTCCTTACGATCGCTTATTGATTCACAAACCAGCATAGCTTGAAGAATCCAATACGAAGTTAAGCTTCTTCTCTTCCGTTAGATTCATCTCCATCAAGCATGTATATCCATCAGCCTCCCAGCAACGCCGAAGCTGCTCCGCATCGGCCGCAACAGCCCGCGAACAACGACTGGACGGACGAGCAGACAGCGGGTGCTTGGGAAGATGTGGCTTCTCAGCGCCCAGCCGGTGCGACAGAAAACTCCATCCCTCGACAATATGTCCCTGCGTCACTACGGCCTGGTGGAGGTGCGGAAGTGGCCTTCGGCTCGCCGGATGACGAAGACAGCGTGTGGAACGAGGCTCGAAACCTGCCGTTAGACCTGAATTTGCCCGACCAGGTCCCCGACGCTCTCCGGCCGGGCGCACACCGGGCAGAGACGAATCCATTTCTGAAGAAACAGACCCCTTCCCAGACACCCTCAGAGACAAATCTCCAGGCTCCTCCAATCACGCTGCAGCCACCGACCGCCTCGCTGTCCAACTTGAGTTTGGAAGAGACAAGCATTCAGAACCCATGGCAGCCGCCCATTGGTACTCAGTCTCCTCTGCATGGAACTGAGTTGCCCATTGCAATCTCACCCGGCGGCTCAGAAATTGATCCCTGGGCTCGTTTCACGCCAGAGCCACCCGCCAAAGAGCCCATCTCCCCCAAGTCTGCGGATCTCATCTCTCTGCACTCTAGAGGGTCAGCCTGGGATGATGAGTTCCCGAGCGAGCATGGCAATCCAACCTCACCACCGCAGAATGCCGCAATCCCAGATGACCTCATGCGTGAGCAGCAAGTCTGGGACGACTTGGGCTCTCTGGATCCGGCTAAAGGCAAGGGCAAGGCATCCGACATTCCAGCGGCACAAGCGGCCCAAATAGACGATTGGAGCCTGATAGACTCGGAGCCTTCAAGCTCACCACAGAGACAGCCTCAGGAAGACTCCTCGACAGATGCGCTCGACGAAAAGCCAGCCTTGCCTCCTCGGCTTTCGGGAAGTCGTGTGCGATGGACGCCGTCACGTCCGCCGGTTGACGGCAAAGCCGAGACGTACCAAGTGAAGAATATCCGATGGCATGACCCCAGCGCCTCCAACAATCCCCGCGTATCTCCCATATTGATCCAGAATGAGAATGGCCCTTGCCCATTGGTCGCTTTGGTCAATGCACTTACTCTGACGACCCCCGAGGAGATTGGTGAGACGGCGCTGGTGCAGGTCCTGCGCTCGCGGGAGCAAGTCAGCTTGAGCTTGCTGCTGGATGCTGTTTTTGATGAGCTCATGTCTCCTCGAAGAACATCGTCAGAAGATTCGCTGCCGGATGTCTCAGAGCTCTATTCATTCCTCCAGAGTCTCCATACCGGCATGAATGTCAACCCGCGATTCATCCCCACTCCCGAGGTCATCGCCGCATATGAGCATACTTCACTCACGGAGCTCCATCCTCTTGAGCGACGAAAGTACATTCCCGGAACTTTTGAGAACACGGCCGAGATGGGCCTCTATGCTACCTTTTCCATCCCCTTGATCCATGGATGGTTGCCGCCACATGACGATGTCGTCTGCGCTTCCATGGAAAGGCACGCTGCCTCTTACGAGGACGTACAGAATTTACTCTTTCGCGAGGAGGAGTTGGAAGACAAACTAGCTACATCCGAGGAGGGTCTGACAGAAACAGAGCAGGATCTATACCAAGACATCATCACCATCAAGATATTCCTGAACGAGTCAGCTACACAACTGACGCCTTGGGGTATTGAAGTGATTGAAAAGGCAATGCGGCCAGGCACATTTGCAATCTTTTTCCGCAATGACCACTTTTCAACGCTGTATTGCCACCCACACACTCGGCAACTCCTCACACTTGTGACAGACGCCGGTTTCCGAAGCCATGACGAAATCGTGTGGGAAAGCTTGCGGGATGTCAATGGTGAATTGAACCAATTCCTTTCCGGTGATTTCCGGCTTGTAAGCGGCGATGCGACCACTGGATCGAGCACCGGAGCTGGTGATTACGGAACAGACCAAGGCGGTGGCACTTGGACGACCGTCACCAACAAGCGTGGCAAGACGAAGGAAGCTCCGCATCAAGAGGAAGTAGGGCAGCCAAGTTCTACCACCGAACAAGAAGATCGAGACTTGGCTCTCGCCCTGCAGCTGCAAGAGGAAGAGGATCAGAAACATCGTGAGGAGCAGGCACGCCGGAAGCGTGAACGGACGCTGTCGGAGCAATACATTGAGCAAGCTCATTTGCCCATACCCGTCAGTCGCCCTGGTGGAGGCAACGCCGGAGTCAACAACGGCCCAAGGCGCAACTCTGGAGCAACAGCTAGCGGTAGCCAATCGCTCGCCTCGCCGCGACGGACCTCCAACAGCGTCAACACAAATGCAAACAGCAACGCAAATGTGGCCCCGGTTTCTGCCTCCGCTTCACAACGCTCTCTGCCCAACTCGGGAGCGGTGTCACAGCAAGTTCGGCCTCTTGTCCCACCCCGGAGACAGGGTGTGAATCGACCACCTGATAACTCGGACGAGCCACCGCCGCCCTCGTATGAACAGGCTGCCCAGGTTCCCGCATACGTCCCTCCTCCGGGGCACCCCAATCACCACGAAAGCAGCCCGGCAAGCAGACAAGTATCCCGATCGAGCGTGAGCACTGGACCGCCTGCTTCTGCAGCCCGAGGCCGCCGACCCGGAGCCCAGGTTCCAGCAGGCCGAAGACCAGCGGCAGTGCCTGCTTCAGCTTCAAGCAGATCAGACCGAGACTGTGTGGTAATGTGATTTTGAGATGATGAGTACGAGCTATTCATGAATAAAGTTGGGGCATTAGTCATGCCAGGAATGGCGTTTTTATTGATGGGCAGGCGGGCATTTTTCTTGCAGGCGTTGTTTTTGGCCGTGATGATTGTATGACGGACGCTCCTTTCCTCTCATCCTCGAAGAAGAATTGTATTTCATAGTTTTACCAAGTATTCTTATGTTTCTTTCTATAACGATATACATATTATCAATCATCAAGTTGTCATTATTATATATCGTCTGAGAAACTGCCGATTCTATCTCTCAGCACGGTTTGAACGGTATTCCCAATCATGGTCAACGACTGGAATCTCTACCAAGCGGATACGCGCGTTTGCTTCCAAATGTGTTAGGGATGAGATCATATTTTTCATCCAAATAAACAAAAAACTAAGATTTCTCTTACATCGTGTAAAAAGAAGGTCAAAAAATTGCAATGGCGATTCGATGTACCAGGGACTCGAACCCTGAGCCTTAGTCTGGATCTCCCTGTTGCGGGTAGCAATAGGAGGACTACGCGCTACCATTGCGCCAGCACACCATGCAGTTATCGGGGCTACTTTTATTATAGCTTATATGAGTATATCAACAGCATTAGGCAGGTGGTGTTATGCGGCAGAAACCAACAGTGGAACGTACCTACTGTCTCGTCACTGTTGATTGTTGACATCATTGAGCGGCAGCCACTCAGATTGTGGCTTTTTTGGTTTACGATTCGCTACTAATAAAGCTTCCTGTTTTGTGAACTCTATGATTTGATATTCTTACATGATTACTATTATTGTTAATATTGTTTGGAGTTTGGCTCAACAAGATTCACCATGGCGCTGATTGAGGGATTGTTTCCGCCTTCACGGGAGAATTATGAGCTTCTCCTGCGTTGCTGGCAGATTGGCTATCCCATTGTAAGTCTCACTCCTCACTACATGAACAATGAGAATATGGAGTCACATGCTAATGTGAGAGGAAATAAAAGATTGGATCAATGCAATGGATCATCAAATGGTACGGCATGGGCAAGACGTCTGTCAGCAGCGTCTTCAACCTCCCCGGCCGCTTCGCCTGGATGACGATGGAGTGTCCCGGATTCTTGACGCTGCTCTACGTTATGAACACGTTGCCGCAAAAGGCCGGAATCGAAGACTTGCCGTGGCAGAATCGCGTCCTTGGTGGACTGTTTGTATGTTCTCCTCACTGATTCTTCAAACATGAGCAAGCATACGTATACACGAATGCTAACACGTAAACTGCAGGTCATCCACTACTCCTACCGAGCTGTCCTCTTCCCCCTCATCCAACCATCCATGTCCCCCATCCACGTCGGCGTCTGGGCCCTCGCCATAGGCTTCCAACTATGCAACGCCCTCTGCATCTCCTCCTGGCTATCCGCCTACGGCCCAACCACCGCCGAAGCATGGTCCTCCGCATCATCCATCCCACAGTTCATCATCGGCATCGGCATCTTCTATCTCGGCCTCTCATCAAACTTTTTCCACGACGAAGAGCTGCGCGAGATCCGTCGTCGCGAGCAAAAACGTCAGGAACGCCTCCGTAAACAGGCCGGCGACAAGAGCGGCAACAACAACGCGGCCGGCGTGGAGAAGCACTACCAGATTCCGCAGGCGGGATTGTTTCGGTATATGCTGTATCCGCATTATTTGTCTGAGTGGGTTGAGTGGCTTGGGTTTTATATGGCTGCTGGTTGGGGATGTGCTCCAGCGAGGGCGTTTCTCGTGAATGAGATTTTCTCGATGCTGCCGAGGGCGGTAAACGGGAAGAAATGGTACATTGAAAGGTTTGGGGAGGAGAAGATTGGGAAGAAGTGGGCTGTTATTCCAGGTATCTGGTGATGCTGAGATGAGTGGACATCTTTGTGTAGAACTTGCGACCTAGCCATGGCGCTTGCTAATGTTAGACGCGGCATGTACATACGAATAGACATTACACTGTGAATTTATATCAATTCATTCATTGGGTAATCATTATAATATATATCTGAGGTTCTATCCAAAGTCCTCAAGATCCTTTATCATACACATCGTTTAATAATGCGGCTTGCCCTTCTCCGTATAAAACTCCTTCGCCCACGCAACAATGTTTGCAACCTCAGCATCAAACACCGCCTTCACACCCTCATTCGCAGCCGCGTTCCTCACCAACAAGTCACCACAGTGCGCCGCTCCAGGAACAATATGCACAGGATGCTGGGCCGTCGAAGGCAGCGGGCCACCAGGGCGGTTCGTAGCCATGACCGTCGCGGGCCTCCAGGGATCGTACTCTCCGGCGGTCCACTGCAGACGCTTAGTGTTGACGTTGAACCATCCGCCGGTGACGTGGTTGACCTTGTCGGTGGTGGCGCCCTTTGCGATGCCGTAGGTGTATTTGCCCTCGCGGGGGAAGAAGAGCTCGCATTGGCGCTCGAAGTAGGGCTCGTTGACGGTGCGGGAGACGAGGTTGCCCTGGCCGCGAACCTGCCACCACTTGAAGCTGTTGATGGTGTTAGCATTATATGCTCTCTTCATACAATTGGTTACAATTGGACTTACGGCTCGTTGCAGAGGAACCAGTTCCACTGACGGTTGGCAGTGTTCTCAACAGTGAGATCGGTGAATAGAGGGCTGGATGCGTTGTACGTGTTGTAGCAAGACGTGTCGTTGGGGTTGGACCAGTATCCATAACCGGCGCAAGCTGCTCAATTATTAGAGTCCATCCAAAAAGATTCTCAGAGGGCTACAACTTACATCCGGGCAAGCTCTGAGTGGTGAACCACTTGGAGTATCCAGCCAAAGCCTTGGTCAGACCAACTCCCTTGGCTCCGGGAACAGGGCTAGTGCTGCCAGGCCATTGGTTCTGTTGTCAAACTATCAGTAAAAATGTACTTCAGACAATGCAGGTCTATTTCACTCACCTCGACATAGTCGCACATCTCAAGCAGCGGGTTGACGGCATCCGAAAACAGCACGCTCTGCCAGGTATACAATCCGTTGTTCAAAGCAGCGCCAAAATCAGCATCCTCAAGATCAGCCAATCCAAACTGAGTCTTCAAGTCATGCTTGGCCTTCTCGCTATGTCCCTGAAGCACCTGGTCCACGTGCTGGATAACCTGGGCATAGTCCGAAGAGCAGTTCTTGGGCATCGCCAGCTTCACCTGCTCAAAGTAGCGCCACAGCTCGCCGACGGCCTCTACGACAGGGCTGGAGCACGAGTAAGCCCAGAAAGTTCCGGGAGCGAGATCCTGCACCCAGGCGGTAAGGGCACCGCTGTAAGAGCAGCCGACGAGGACCCAGGGAGCCTTTTCGGGAGTGCTGGTTCGGTTCAGGTCGAAGGGAAGGACGACGTTTTCGGCAAAGTAGACGAGATCCTTGACAGACTGCTCCAGAGTGAGATACTGCATGTTCTCAGTGGAGAGGGTGTCATAAGGCGAGCTCTGTCCCCAGTAGCGGTGCTCAATGATCAAGGCACCAGCACCGAGTTCCTGAGCAGCGACACCAGGAAGAGTCACGTTGGTCGTGTATCTCTCGTAGCCGTCCAGAGCGCTCTCATTGGGTCCCATCAGGATAACAGGGCCTCCAGGCTTGTAGAACTCGCCGTTCCACGCATATCTCTGCTGAAAGGTGCCCAGCTCAGGGTGGTCATGGTCAATGAGCTGGTCAAAGAAGGCGTGCTGAGGCCCAGTGGCGTCAGCCTGGGTGAAGGACTTGATGGCCGGGACTTCGGGCTTGCGAGGTCGCATCTCCAGGTTCACGAGGGCGGAAGCAGTTCCCGCGAGCATGAGAAGCTCGACGATGGAAGTGGAGGACCGCATCTTGACGGATTTTGGTCTAAGAGGGCACCTTGGACTCAAACTCTCCCTTCTCTCCTCTCAAGAAAGCAGACGTCCAAGGACGCGACTTATATACCCCATTCTCCCCTCTGTTCAATTCTCTAATTCCGGTTGTTCCCCACAGATCCTTGAAGAACTATTGTATTCGCAAGGTAACATCACACAAGTGCCCGCCTAGCTACTCTTGTCAACAGGTAAAAAGTTCCGCATCATGGACCCTGTTCCTAGGCGGCACGACAGGTACGGATCCCTGACCTGACGCCTTTTTTGGCCCGCCAGGTGTTCACCAATAACAAAGAGTTCTGCTTCGGCTTCCTGCCGAGAGGAGAACAATGCCGGCATCCCATCTCCCGCTCATTCACCAAACTTGGCATTAAAGATCAGCCATTTGCAGAACAATGGCGAAATCGGATTGGTCAGATTGCGAAAGAAGTTCTTTTTCACAGCCCCAGAAAACAAAGGATCCTTCCGAGAAACCCAGCAAAAGGCTCTACGAGGAATAGGCCCGTCCTGCCTAAAGCCCAAGTACGAGTAAGCCCGCATCAACCTATCCGGCGGAACAAAGAGCCCTTCCTAGACAAACAAAATGGACTTGAACTTTTGCCATTCTCCGGCATGCCAGCAAAAATACCCCTGGTCCATCGCATTAGCTGCCGGTCTCCGTGAATCCAATTCAAAAGATCCCCGTGTCGCCGCTCGCCAACTCTATCTGCCCTTTGCCACTTTCAGGCGACCTTCCCGATAGGGCATGAGGCTAGCCAGGGGGTCGGCCCATGCCGGAGGCTTTTGTTAGTGAGTCAATTGAGTGTCAGCCATTCTGTATGTATGGAAAAATGCCCTGCCGGCGGAATTGCCTTTGTTGGAGGGCAAGGACTTTTGGATCGGCGGAGGGAAAACAAATGATTCTCTCCGGGTGGACCGGTGGGTTTTGTTCAAGATTGGTTCTGAGAGGCTATTAATACTGGCCCCCATCTCCGATCACAATCTGCGATGGCTTGTTCTAACTGTTCGTATGGACTGTTCAATTGACAGCTTTTGTTGCAGCCTTTTTGTTTGCCGGCTACATACTCCGTAGGTTAATTTGGATCGGCAGCTCACTTTCCCCATATTCCTTCGTGCAGCCAACCGTCTTGGCGGATTCGGCCACCCATCTCTCCGAGGCGGGATTGTTTGCTTGCCTTGAGAGTATTTCGTGTTTTAGCAAAGGCGGTCTGTATCTATGTATAGATTGCAGCCGGAGGAGACCTTTGCTCTGAAGCCTCTCAAGCCTCTGCTTACTTTGCATGAAGATGCACGTCCTTCTGGTGCGACGCAAGATAAGATCACCTAGCCTTTGGAACAAGGCTCTGCTGCCTTCTTTCTGTAATATATGCCTCGTGGAAGTACGCAGGCTGTTGACTAGGAACTACGATGTAGACCAAGTGGTCGGCTGCACTCATTTGATGCTCACTCTGCCGTGCTCCTTCGTATATTCAACATTTACATGCAGTCATGCCGTGGAAACTTATTACATTGACTATATATAAACTACTGCGTTGCACGAGCCGGGAACACGCATCTAGGCTAGTCAAGTCCCTCGTACGACCTAGCGCTGTATTCAATTATTAGATTGTTGTGACTCGGAGGTTCTTAGATTGAGAGCTTGTGTAATAGTCTATACGAACGTCTAGAAAAGGCTATTGAACTCAATACCACAGTATAAACTGCCAATTCAGTGC